GATACACATTCTTTATCATATAAACTTAATTTAGCAATTTTAATGTTAGATCAAAGTCTAGGATAGCAACAGAGAAGAGCACAAAATCAATTACAAGCACAATACAGAAATATAAGAGAACATTCAATGAACTCCTTCAGACTGTCTTCCATTGAACTGTAGTGTGTAAAAGACACTTTGGAAAAGGTGACTTGTCGAATGTCACCAGAGAAACTGTTGTACAGTAAATGCTAATAAATAAGCATTGTACATTCTTAAAATCAACCCAAATTCAGATAGCAGTTAGCTTTCATATTCATTATTTAGGATGAGATGGTTGTATTTAAGCAGCTGTCTTACCAACTTACTAGAGTCATCACTGAGACTCAGCTACTCCCACAATGGCTAAAAACAAATATAAAAACCATCCAAGAATGATGACAAATTGAGTCTTTATTCTCTATGGTAGAAGAAACCAATCAGAGCCCATCTATGTGAGACCTACCTAATAAGAACATTGAGTTGGGTAAAAGACGAGGATGGATTGCCAAGGGGGAAATGGCATTTATTAGACTGTGACAAGCTTTTAAATGTTTGCATTATCATTTACCAACTGTTTGGTTTTCCAGTTCGCACACCTGCCACCTCTGTCCAAAGCTATCGCCCGAGCAAACTGAGAAGCAAGGCCCACCTCTAAGACACTGGCGCCCTCTACTGACCCTTTTGTAGCTCTGCATGCACAAGTTACTTTTGCAGGTAGTATTTTACAGTTTTATATTTGTAATTATTGAATAAAATAGTCCAATAAAATATAAAAGAGAAGCTATTCTCAAAAAAGTATGTCAATGAAAAAAACTACATTCTTTTAAAAATATCTATATATATACAAACTAATTTTATTATAATTATAATGATGATGACAATGACAAATATACGAAGCCCATGCTATGTACCAGCCACTATACATGCATAACCAGTTTGATTTAAAAGCTAACTTGCAAGTTAAGTGCTACTATCTATTCTCTTCATGTTATAAATGTAGAATTGAAGTCCAAACTCAGTAAATATGACTACAGAGCCAGAGCCTTAAACCACTACTGCATCTTTTAATTTTATAAGCAAAACATCTCTGTGAGATACAACTGACCTGACACCATGACAAAATATGATTGTAAAAAGTTTAAAATAACCATTACATCACCCAAATTTCTTGTTTACAGCAAATCTGAAATGGACAGACAAAAGAACATGACAGGAAATAGTTTTGGGCTTTTCCCTATGCTGTTACCCATTCCGCTCTACACCTGAAGATTTTGGTAGTACAGAACTATGTTATTCTTTTTCTCCCTATGCCTCTTTTTCCAGATTATGTCCTTATTTATCTATTGTCTGGTTTTCTAAAAGGGAAAATAAACCTAATCTTCATCACATGCCTTATCTTCCTTCTATAAACCAGAACTATTTACCTATTCTGATTTAAATTACATATTTCACTGAAATTTTTTAAAGTTCTTTATATTAAGACAGTAAACCCAAATACCATCATCAATTCCTTGTCCTTATCACAGGTAAAAATTTGTCTGGAAATAAACGGGAGAGGGCAGCACAGAAGGCCAGGGCGCTGAGGGCACCACACAGATACACAGCTTCTTCTAGCATGACTGTGATACGATCAGCAGCCACAAGAATTGGTTCCTGTGTCTGGCACTGTAGTGCTAGAGCCGGACCACTGCCCACAACTATAGAGCCAACATGGCTACTGCATCTACTATAGCCCTTGTCATTTCATAGCCATAAATGAACCACAATGCTTCTACAATGAGTCCATCACCTTCCTTTATAACTGGAGTGGAACGTATCTTGCTACAAAATGGAACACAGTCAGCAAGCTGGTGATAGGAATCAGAATCAGTGTCTGTATCTTCATCATTTTGGCCAAGCTTTTGGTCATGGGGGCTATCTATGTCAACCATCCTTCCCATTTATTACTTAATGGCTAACCTGGCTGCTGCAGACGTTTTTGCTGCATTAGCTTACTTCCACATAATGTTCAACATAGGACCCAATACTTGGAGACTGACTGTTAGCACATGGCTCCTTCGTCAGGGCCTGACTGACACCAGCCTGACAGCTTCTGTGGCCAACTTACTGGCTGTTGCAGTTGAAAGGGATATTACAGCCTCCTGCATGCAGATCCACACCTACATGAGCAATAGTCGGGTGGTGGTGGTCGTTGTGGTCATCTGGATGATGGTTATTGTCATGGGTGCTATGCCCAGTAGGCTAGAATTGTATCTGTGATATTGAGAATTTTAGAACATAGAACCCTCTACAGTTCTATGTTACTTAGTCTTTTGGGCCATTTTCAAGTTGGTGACCTTTTGGGTATGTTCACCAGAGGACTATGAGAATGTCTTGGCACAGTTCTAGACCCTAACAGAACTGGGATACCATGGTGAGTCTTCCGAAGACTACAGTCATCGTGCTTGGTGCCTTTATTATCTGCTGGACTCCAGGATTGGTCTTGCTACTCTTGGATGTGTGTTTCCCATGGTGCAATATTCTGGATTATGAGAAATTTTTTCTCCTTGCTGAGTTTAACTCTGCCATGAATCCCATCTACTCCTACCAAGACAAGGAGATGAGTGCCATCTTCAAACAAATCCTCTGCTGGCAGATCAGCAGAACACCAATGGCCCCACCAAAGACTCCAGCTGCTCGGCTTCCTCCCCCACCACACCATCTTCGCCAGAGTTCACAGCAATGAACACTTTGTGGTTTAGAAAGTAAACTAAGATGGGAAATCAGCTGTCTTCTATAGAAGGATGAACAGCCTTTCCCCACCCAGTTTCTAGGCCAAGGTAGAGAGCAAGAGAGAAGAGAAAGACACTTGTGTACTTTAACACTTAGTTAGTGTTAGTTAGTTAGTTAGTGTTTAACACTAACCAATGTATTTATTCCTAGACCATATAAGACTTGAAACACATGGAAAATTAGCTTATGTGATAACCCTCATCCTGATCCCCATTCCTTTTGAATATAAAAAGTAGAGTTCTTATGGTAGAATTCAGAAATAGACTCAGGAGTGTCTATTTAAACTACATTAATTAGACTTTAAAAGATTTTGTGTGATTTAGCGCAAGTCAAAATAAATTCTGACTGGGGCCAGGGATATATAGCTCAGTGGTAGACAAGTGTAAGGTCCTGAGTTCAATTACCGGTACCAAAAAAAAGAATAAATTCTAATTCAATCCACAACTTCATTTACATACAGGGTTCCCTTTTTTATTTTTTAAGGATATATTTCATTTAGTAAACATGTTTATGCCTACCAGTATGCTTGTGATAGGTAAGGCAATAGACTTAAACTACCATGATTTTAATTTTTTTCCTTTTTATGAAAACTGTAAATTAGAATTATTTTTTAGAAAGCATGCATGTAATATATGTAAACAGTATGCTTTACGTATGAAGATAAGAAGATACTAATTTTAAATCTTCTAGGAAATAGAAGAACCTAGTTTTAAAAACCAGTATCTGTTTAGGCTCTGAAAGAAACAATGCTGTACTCACAATATTGTATTTTTACTAAAGTTTTACAATGTCTTCTTCACCTTTTACCTTTAATAAGAAGATAAAAACTATAAAAAAAAAAAAGCTATAGCTATTGCAAAAACACTGCTACTGCACTGGATAGGTGGCACTTGTAAGGAAAGCCAATTAAATTACCCTTGTACAGAAGAAATTCAGTGTTTACTCTAGTTGAGAGTAACTTTTTAATATAATAAAATGAATGAGAAACAGTTAATTGTCATAATAACTAAAACACCCTAATAAAACTAGTAAGTTGAATTTTTTTTTTTTTAGGTTATCCAGCTCTTGATAGCCACAGCTATAATGTAGAAGAAATTCTTGAGGGAAATGCAAAGAAATCAAACATGCCAAGTGACTAAAGGATCAATGTATTAAATGGCTTCTGTAGCAAAGGGATTGAATGTGTCAGGACATGACTGGTTCAAGAGTGTTCTTTAGGAATTACCCCTGATGAACTGATGCCATATTAGGTGACACATGTTCAATATGTTGTCCAGGGACATAGTGATTGAGCCAGTGTCTTGCAACATGCAGTGAGGAAGTAACAGAGTCTTGAAGCAGGTTTGGGCACATTGGTAGAATGTCTAAGAGAAAGAAATCTCAAGGAAGGATGGCTGTCTAAGGAGGAGAAGGTCAGTATGTGATTAGGCTTTGAACAGCGAGGGTAGACTTCTAAGAGGCCCATGATGCAAAGAATGTAGGGAACTAGTTAGTAGAAAACTGTTTGCACACCCTTTACGCCAAACACAGAACATTTTATACTGGATGCTAAAGGAAAGATGGTGGACTTTTACTGATGTGCCTATTTTTATAGAGGAAATACGTACTACTGGAAATTAAAAGCTTACTAGTTGGACCTTAATAAATCATTCTCAATCGAAAAAAAAAAAAAAGAAGAAAGAAAATCTGTCTGAGATTGTACATTTCTACCTGAAATCAGGGCCAAGAGCCTAGATAATTTTCTAGGATTCCTAAAAACATTAACCTTATGTTCAAATATTATTTGTCTATTGATCCATGGCTCTAAACTAGATTTAGAACATTTATAAATTCTATACTTCCACAGTTTCTCTTCATGAAGTTATTCACAGCCATCAAAAATTAAAGGAAACTATGTGCAATCCAAACACAGGGTAACCAAGTTCATTGTTAGGCATAACAATTAAAAACAGCTTCTAAATTAATGGCTGCTTTTTTACAATTATTATTTCCCTTGAATAGGTAATGAAGAATATACTTTGAAGCACAAACCAGTTTTATTAATCTAAAAAATGAAACAAGATTGTTCTATTTTACTACAATAACTGATCACATTTCTAAAAAATCCTTACATTATCCTTATTTTCCAAACATAACAAAAACAATGAGTAGAGGTTTACGAAAAGGTACCACGGAAACACTCCAGAAAAATCCCAGGATTCTTTTACCTCAGTCTGTAGGATGGCAGCCCTCTGTTCCTTAGCAGTCAAGGACTCTTTCAGTACTTCAATATGTTGCTTACTGTCTGAGAACTGATTTGTGAGCGTTTCCAACTTTGTCTGCAAGGCCAGTAGCTCTGTGTCCTTTCTGGAAAGCTCCTGTTTCACTTGGCCAATCTGGAAAAGAAAACACTGTAAGGATAAAAAGAAGCAACCACCTCTAATCTGGACTCATGACAGATCTAAGTCACAAGATATGAAACTTAATGCAACAATAATTGTATGACAGAAATACTCAGGGGCTAGAAGTACACTTCAGTGGTAGAGTACCCGCCTAGCATGTGCAAGGCTTTGGGTTTGTTCCCCACCACAGCAAATAACCAAATAATTATAATAAGATATATTTCTCTTTTGGTATCACCTAAGCCTGGATCCACCCCTGTCCCCCCAAAAAAACTAAGCCAAGTTTATTCAACAAACAAGGACGTTTCTGGTTTCCATTTATTGTCTTTAAATAGTCTCTGAAACTACTTAAAAAAGAAATGGAAAGAAAAGATATTCCAATTCACTTAGGTTACTAGTAGGTAGCAGTTCACACCTAAATATCACTGAACTGTTAAAATATTTTCCATTTTCCTAAGTCAGACATCTCCAGAACATGATATATCAAATGAAAGAATAGTATAGATATAAAACAAGAAAGGAAGAAAGAAAGAGAGGAAGAAAGAAAGAAAGAGAGAAACAGAGGCAGGAAGGCAAGAAGGAATTTTCTAAAGCTAGTGCTGTACCAGGCATGGTGGCACATGCCTATAATCCTAGCACTTGGGAGGCTGAGGCAGGAGGATCACTGTAAGTTCAAGACTAGCCTGGGCTACATAGTGAGTAAGACCATCCTGAATTATAGAGTGAGACCCTATCTCAAAAAAAAAAAAAAAGGTTAGCGCGGTGCTTTTTTACATTAAGTTTTACTTTCCTTCTCAAACAAAAGTTTCATAACATTCTCATTTTTAAAAGTTACTTTCAGTGCTATAAGGCATTGCCAGTCTTGTGACCTTCTAAAAATCCTATAATTTTCATAAGCTATGTGTCTAGAACTTTTAAAAAATTCAATCTGTAATTTTCTATCAACTAAATGGATAAAAGTATGTGACGTAAATAAAAGAGCACGCGTAAAAGCGCATCCTGTAAGAACCTTCAGTATCCTAAAAGGATAATCCATAAATCAATCAATAGATACCATTCATCCTTCCATAAATATCTCTCAACATAAAAAGTATTTTCCTCAAACATATTTACATTCCTATTATTTCTAAAAATTTTTTAAATAGTCTTTTATCCTAATTTAAGCCAAAATAATAGACATCAGATCTGCTTTTTTTTGAGACAGGGTCTCACTATGCAATTCAGGCTGGCCTCAAACTTGTGGCAATCCTCCTGCTTCAGCCTCCTGAGTGATGGGATTAGAGGCATGTGCCACCACACCCAGCTGAGATCTGCTTTTAAATTACGCGTTCCAGCCGGTTGTGGTGGCGCATGCCTGTAATCCCAGCACTCGGGAGGCTGAGGCTGGAGGATCACTGTGAGTTCGAGACCAGCCTGGGCTACAAAGTGAGCTCAAGGCCAGCCTGAACTACATAGCGAGACCCTGTTTCAAAAAAATAAAAATTAAAAAAAAAATTACGTGTTCCATCCAGCAAGGCACTAAAAAAACAATTCAAGGTATAAATCTGACAATAAGTTGAGTAATTTTAGTATCACCTATGAAACAGCCCTTTATTTTTAAAAATTTTAATATATCTACAGTATTTCTCATGGGAAAATAAATTTTACTTTAAAATTAAGACTTTTAAGAAGATCAAATAAAAATAAACTTCCAACTCAATCTTCTGTTTTAACAAAAAGATGAGCATTTACTTATACACATAAAATTCCTGTTTACATAGTTATTCATTCTGTAAGATTTCTGAATATTTACTGTATGCAAAGTACTTGAGGGTATTTATGATATTCTCTGACCAATAAGTATTACACACTAGTATTAATCCCTAACACAGAGACTGCACTAAAAATGCATTTGCTATATGAATAAATATTCAGGAGAAATATTCAAAGCGTTACAACTTCTTTAGTAAAGAACTAAGGCTTAAAGATCATTAAAATTTCCATCTACTAACAATTACAGAATCAAAAATAAATATAAAATCTGAATTTCCTTAATATTTGCATTATTATTTAAGTTCCACATATAGCCATACCAACTTTAAAGACTGAGAAAAGGAAGAAAATATTTTAAGAGCAGAATTTAAAAGCACAACTTTTCCTAAAAGACTAAGGAGGAAAGAAACATTATAAATGGGAAGCAAATATAATATATAGGTCAGGAGGACAAGGCTTTGCAGTCAGCCACGTTAGGCTGAGCTAGCTATGTGTGCCTCAGCAATTACCTTACCGCTCTTAAATTTTTGTCCCCAGCTGCTAATATGGAGAAATTATATCAATGCCACTGTGTTGTTTAGGGATTCAATAAAGTAATGTATGAAATGACTTTACCCTGTGGTTTGACACAACAAAGAAATGAATAATAGTAGCTATGAAAAAAAGAAGTTATAGATCAACATTTCTAGACACTAGCACCAGAAGCCAAATTAGACTCTCTCAACAAAATATTTCAGTTTTTTTATCTCTCCTATAAAATGGCCCCAAAACACACCAAATTAGCACAAGTGTTTATTTTTTAACTTTACATTCACGTTTTAACCAGAAATTGTTTCTAGCAGCCATTTTTTCCTGACACTTTAGCAAGTGTATACATACGCAAATATAAGGAAACAGCTTATTGGCACCCTTTCTGGAATCACACTTTCTGCTTGTGTAAAATCAAACCCTGCCTCTTACTAGCTGTGTTTTCCTAGGCACCATTCCGTTACCTTGATTTCCTCTGTAAAACTGGGATTAAAAATCTCAGCAGGTTAAAGAATGTTTATGACATAAAGATCAAAAACTTTGGGTATGTTTAAACTTTAAAAACTTATTACACTAATGACAAATTGTCAAGAATGATAGGGTATGTTTGAAATGAGGGAGTATTTTGGTGATGTGTCCTTTACTAAAATAAATTTTTAGAATTTAAATATTCACTGTATTTTTGACCACACCTCGTAAGTGTATGAGTTAGTTATCTTATTATTATTTATTGTTTTGAAATTTTTAATTAATTACACAGGTTAAACTAGATTTAGACAAATAAGTCTCACACTAATTCTAATTTACTACATAACTCTAAATAAGCTTGTCATTTTCCATATATCTGCCCTAAAGAAAATAACATTTATGTTACAAAATCACCCATTAGAACTTAAAAGGTAACATCTATGTAAGAAGACAAAGCACTTAAGAATTTCAAATTCAAATAAACTCTGGGTGATGGGCCTTACACATCCGCATAGTTCTGTATCTAAGAAGAAAACACAACCAACATTTCTATAAATCCACAAGTATCTATTTCAATTAATAATGGGTTCCAAAAAAACAAGCTTTGAAATAGCATCCATAGAGTGGCACAAGCAACAATAAAGAGCCAAGTATAGCGCTTCCAGAACACATGAGGGCTCGGTGCACACAAAGCTGACATGTGGGACAAACTAGTGAAGAGGAGGAATTGGTTAAAGAGCAGAACAGGCTGGTTAGTGCTAGTGATGGGCAAAGCTGCCAACCATAGAAAAGTATAAGCCACCCAGAAGCCAGAGCTAGCAGGTCCCACCATGGGACCACAGCACACACAGAGGTAAATCTTACGGCAAAGACCTCAGCCTGAAGACCAGCTGCTCTCTTTTTCAGCTCCTCCCCTTGAGCCTCTTTCGAATTTAGTTCCTCCTTCAGTTGCTCTACCTGTCACGACATTGTTATTCTTTTTTCACTCGTGTCAACTTAGTTCTTCTTATCTGTTTTTGACCCCAAGAGGCCACTGCAAATAACAATTAACTTATATAACACAATCAAATCTGTTCCCCTAGTTTCCTTTTTTTTCCTTTAAGACAAGGTCTCCCTTTGTAATTCAGGCTGATCTCGAACTCACTATGTTCACAGGGCCCAGGCTGGCCCTGAACTTGCAGCAATCCTTCCTTCTTATCTACTACACGCTGGGCCCTAATTCTCTCTCCAAAGGGACATATGCATATGGTTTTTCTATTTCCATAGGCCTTTTTAATGGACTAGAATGTGCTAATAAAATATGAAGTACAAGCAGAAATTATATGACTATGTATTTTGTTCACAAATTTGCATAAAGAATCCAAGCCAACAGAAAGTTGGATATATGAATTTTTAAGCTTTAAACTTCGATACTAGCAAAAATCAGTAACAGATTATTAAACTACTAGAGGAATAGTCCAGATTCATGTCAGGTATGGACACTAAAACAAAAGGTGAGAAATGGGAGAGGGAGCTACAACTGTGTCATTCTTTTACACAACTGGGAATGTTTCAGTTTTCAGTTCTGAGAAACTACAGAATGCAGTTGGAATATACTTTTGGAGAACATGGTTAAGAAATATTTTTTGTATAAACTTTTATCGTTACCATTATGATTTTTAATTAAACCACTACTAAATGGATAAACTGATAACTATAATAAGCTAAATCCTCCAATTTGCCTAAACAGTTTACACTTACAATCACAGTAAGTGACTTTTGATCAAAGGAAGAAATATTGTAACTGATTTTGAAATACAACCAACAGATCTCAGTAATAGCTACCTTACTGTACATATGACTGAGTGTACATGGGAAGCAATAAACCTGATAGCAAACAGACCTTTCCCAAGGGTCAGAGCAAAGAGAACTTTTCTTTTGGAAGTGTATTTAAAGAGGAAACATCGTTTCATTTAACATATTTTTGGAAAAAAAAAAAGCTGGATTCAGCCTCTTGGACTTTTAACTTTAAAATACTTCAGAAGAGTTAAGAAAACTGGAGTCTTACATAGCTGGAAGCCTTAAAATGGAATATATTCTATTTTATTACCTCAAAAATACTAATAGATACAAAAAGCTAAAGTGTGATAACATATATTTAACAAGTAATTTTCTTTCAAATAAAAACTTGCAATAACTACAGTGTCAATAACTCTGGCTTTAATTCTGACTTTAATTTCATTTCAAAAAAAAAAGCCCTGAAGTCTGACAAAACAGTGAAAGAGATCTTTATCATTGCTAATGAGGTAAAATAGTTTGAAATTTTCAAATTTTTCTTTAAAGCAAAAGTATATCACACATCATTACCTTATTTTTCATAAACTTAGAATGGCTCCGATACACCTCCATTTGCTTCATTTCTTCCTCCCGTTCTTCCGTACTCAAAGCCCCATTTGATTTCAGCATCTGAATTTCCTCTTCCAGGTCTCGAAGCCCACGCTCCATAGAGGAAATTTTTGAATCCTAAGGACAATAAAAGAGTTAAGCGTTAAAGTAGTCACAAAAATGCAAAGAAACTGAATAACCAGATCTTTTAAAATGTTAAAATTAATAAATATAAATAAATATACATAAAACTGCTGCCTGGCACTTGGTGCCTTGCTTCTAAAATATATTCTTTATAGCCACCTGGAAAGGAGAATTCTCATAGAATTTTTCCTGTCTCTCCAGTTCTCTACCCCTTCCATTAAAGCTAGATTAAACAACTTAAGAAGCAGAAGCAATGGAAAAAATGGTTAAAATTTCACGATACTTTATGGTCAACAAATTTCTAGTAAAAAAGTTATAGTAACAGTAAGCATTCTTTAGTTCTAGTATTTTACTTATGAACCCTAGAAGACCTATTTCAACCTCAAAGGAGGGGAAAAGAGCATTTGCATAAAGAGGAATTTTATACAATAATGTTTATAATTTTAAATATATAATAAAAAAACACTCCATTGCAGAAAAGCAAACAAAATGAGTAATTACATTAAATTACTTTTTATAACGTTAGAAATCTTACTGTCTATATTTCATTATTATTGTCTATAACAACAATGTCTATATTTCATCCATATATTAGAAATATTTGATTAGAAATATTTCATTAATTTTGAAAAAATCATAGTGGCACATTCCTGCTGTCCCAGTAGTCTAAAAGCTGAGGCAGGAGGATCACTGAGTCCAGGAGTTCAGACCAGCCTGGCAAACAAACATAGCAAAACCTCTGCCAATCAATCCATACATACACACATGCATACATACATACATGTACACACACTTTTCTTGTAAATCAACACCATTACCACAAATATCTTTTAGTAGTACATCCTTCTGAATTCAACTTTTGCTTTGTTTAGTTTTGATTTGTTTTGGTACTGGGAATCGAACTCAGGACCTTGCACTTGCCAGGCAGGCACTTCTGCCACTTGAATTCAAGTTTTTGACTTGGTTTGTAACACTAATTTATCCCTAGATTACTTCAGACATTAGCAATTACAGGAAAACCTATATCTGTATTCTCCACCCTTATTCATCTAAGCAATAGAGACTTTTTTAAAGAGCACAAATTAAGGATAGCTTTTTTTACTTGGCATGTCTGAGAAAAAAAAATCCTGTAGGAAGCAATTTTGAGATTGATTTCCATTTCCACTTTACCGTAAAGATTTCTTGGTTGACTTTACTTGCTCACATAATTCCTAGAACACAAATTATTTAAGTATCTGTCTTAAGCGAACTCTAACTAGCTATTTTACAGTCTGGGAGGGGGAGAAGGGAGGATGTACTCCTGTCTCACTCATCATACCTTTAATAATAACACAGCAATAACCAAGGCATGGTGTCACACACCTGTAAATCCTAGGAGCCTGGAAGGTTTAGAGAGGAGAACTGACAGTTCAAGTCCTGCCTGGGTAACTTTGTGACTGAGACCCCATCTCAAAATTTAAAAGTAGGGAGTGGAGTATAGCTCAGTAAGAAGGCTCGGGACTCAACTCCCAATATCATTTTTTTTTTAAATCACACAGCAAAAATATTCTTTTACAGATATATTTAAACTTGTACTCTGTTCAAAATTACATGTATTGAATTAATATAGAAATATGTAAACCAGGATTTTGATTTACTCATTTAAAATCAGCCTCATATCTTTCCCCAACCCTTAAAAAAACTACTTCAATTTCACTATCTGAAATTCACTTTTAAGATTACTAAATTATTCAAGTATCAAGATATATAAAATATATTCATATAACAATTTTTATAATTTTCCACTACCTAAAGTACTAGGCATATGCATGTGACTAAAAGTAGCCAGCAGTAATGAAAGGGGAGAAGCTAAAATGGGGAAGTATACTTCCAGCACAACTGGGGTTCTACACAAAACAACACAGCCCCCAAGTAAGAACTACAGCTCTGCACATCACAACTGTTAAAGCATCTCCAGGCCCCTTGCAAAAAAAAAAAAAAAAAAAAAAAATCCATTTTCTCCTCATCCCCAACAATGAGAAAGAAGCAGCTCTTAATCAAATCAGCACTTTAACTACTACCAATCATGTACCTTAAAAGCTCTTCCCCAAAACTGTAGCTCTGAAAACCCTGAGGCAGGCACTAACTACCCAGAAACAGAATCCACCACACTGTGCTCTGAAATAAGGCAAAATCAAGCCCGATACTTTCAACTGCTGAGGTGAGTACCCATTCAACTGTTACCAAGACTAGATTTATTTGATGATGGTTGTTCCAACCAGTTTTCTCACTCCTACAAGGCATATTAATTATAAAGAAGTTCCCTTTTGTTGGGTATGACAGCACATACCTGTAATCCCAGCACTTAGGAGGCTAAGACAGGAGTACCACAAATTTAAGCCCTACCTAACCTATCCAAGATCCTATATTGCAAGAACCTATCCAAAAAGGAACACAGAAACACAGGAACACACACACACACACACACACACACACACACACAGAGAGTACCATTATTTTTAAAAAATTATCATTTACACATTTATTCAAATTAAACTTATACTCTGTTCAAAATTAAATATACTCAGCTAATACAGAGATATGTAAACCAGGATTTGATTTACTCATTTAAATTCAATTCCACAAGCAAGTTCTTTTTTGTCTTACTTCTCTCTACTTCCTCACCCTCCATCCCTCCATCACTGATAACCAATCCCACTGGGCCTACTGAATTTCTCCACTCATTGCTAACCACTTAACAGTTTAATCCCAAGCATTACTCAGGCAGTGCAGCGGCAGTGCATCTGTTTACATACTGACTATCCCAAACACTGCTCAGGCAGGTGTCAACCAGTCAATTCTTGTTTGTCCAAGATACACTAATATGTCTGTTTATGTGCTTTATATTGACTATTTTTTGCACACTTTTTTATTTTGAATGTTGTATTCACCTTTGATGTTTGTTTCTAGTGAAATCTAATAGTAAGTTCTGGTTATTTGCTTTTACAATTTGGGTTTATTTGCAAAAAAATAACCTATAATTTTGTACTATAATCTATAAAAACTCTTATCATAAGTACACTAGATATAATTTTTATACTTCTCCAGAAGTCAGTGATATTCTTTTACAACACAAAATGGACACGTTTGGGACACTGACACTGAATAGGAAGTAAGTGCTAAAAGAGCTACAAAAGAAAACACTGAAAAAGGGAGAAATGTAGTATATCAGAGAGGAAAAAGTCTGCATTATGAAGTGGAAAGACAAACAATCTCCTTCTTGTCAACTATTTGTAGTACAGAAATGACACAAATGAAAGAAGAAACAAAACTAAAAACACCCCAATAGTGGTCAACGATTATAATAATTCCCTGGGTGGTGTTGACAGAGTTGACCAACATCTAACAAGTTATCCTGTAATCAAAAAGCAAGGAAAAAAAAATTATTATAAAATATTTATGCACCTTCTGGAACAAACAATATGGAATTCATCTGTTATTTATTCAAAACAAAGAGGTTCAAAAGGTCATTTATAATTTAGATTAGGTCTAATAGACCAAATAATTGCAAACACAGAATAGCAAAACCCCAACCAGGATGTTTATCACTGTGGTCTTCACCATCATGTTTAGTGGGCAGACATTTTATTGAAATTATATCACCCACCGAAAAAAAAGGAAAGGCCATCATGACAGTGTAAAGTGTGTTATTCAAAGAAAGAGAATAATGAAAAAAGAATTCAGAAAGAGAGTAGATACTACTACGACTTTGTGCACTGAATGTTTTATCATACACCATACACAGAAACATTACTGAGCAAATCTGATAAAACTGTCAATTTTTATATTTCCTGTTATATTATCTTATAAAAATTAATGAGAAAATGTGCAATTTTGAGGTATATAATTTCTCCAAACCTTCTCTAGTAACCCTCGCACCATGAAGGGACAAGAGATAAGCCTGGCGTTCTCTTGGCTCCCCAATGCTGCTGCCCTTCAGGTAAAGCTCAGGTCTCTTTTCACTCCTCACGCTGCCATCTAGGAATTTCTCAACACTCCTACCATCCTATGAAGTCTGGCACTTTTTCGCAATCTTCCCTTCAAGCGGCACCATGACCATCACTATAGGATATCAGTGTCAGAATCCTTAAGGTCCTCAATTCCAGTGACTTCGTCTTCCAGTCCATTTCAGTTATTCAGTTTACAGGACTGTACTATGGATCCTTTCATCAACCAGGACTCTCTTCCCAAGCCACTCATGCCCTCATTCTACATATTTCTGTTGTTCAACATCACAGAGAACTCTCCTTCCCTGATTTTTACAATTTCTCTGAACCTGTCAGTTGGTCTGAATCATCCTTCTATATCCTGCATACATTCCAGGACTGATCATACCAATTACTCAGTTATCATCACCCTCAATTTATCTGTTCCCCAATCATTCTTCTATTTCTACCCAGAAACCTTCTAACCCTACTTAGAGCAACACAGTAATTTTTCCTTGTTCTTTCACTGCTGGAGAGAGAGAGAGAGAGAGAAAGAGAGAGAGAAAGAGAGAGAAAGAGGGAGGGAGGCAGAGAGAAAGAGAAGAGAAAGAGGCAGAAAGGCAGAAAAACATTGAAGGAGAGCCGGGTGTGGTGGCACACACCTGTAATCCCAGCACTTGGGAGGCTGAGGCAGGAGGATCGTTGCAAGTTCGAGACCAGCCTGGGCTACAAAGTGAGCTCAAGGCCAGCCTGAACTGCATAGCAAGACCCTATCTCAAAAAGACAAAAGTAAAAAAATTTAAAAAAAGATGGAAGGATGGAAGATGGTAGGTGAAGAGATAAGACAAAAAAGAGAAGAGACATGAAAAGGGAGAAGAAAATTATACCACCTTGAGTATTACTGAGCTCTTTCATTGTCTACTGATCATCTTTCTTCCTATTCCCCCAAAGACTACTCTAGATCTTCATGATTTGCCCACACTACATGCTGCTTTCTCAGCAACTCAGCTATTTTAGTTATGACTTCAGTATAACATTCACTTGACTCCTTTCAGCCACCAGAATCTCTTGTTTCTTGGCAAATTTAACACAACTTAAAAGTTTCACTGCCAGTTAAAGATTACACTTGCCCATTTTGTCAAAAGATGAGTTGAGAAATAATTCTATGAATGTAGATACATTCAGGTGTTTCACTCCTAGGTATCAACAAGGATCAGGAATACATACACAAATAAACCTGTTGTGAATGTTAATAAAACCATGAGATTAAACTATTTTTAAAGGTCCTTATAAGACTGTATTCAAGGCCACTTAATCATCTAACTACAAAGAACACAGAATTCAATAATTTCGAATGAGCTTGGTAAATCATCTCCCCTTTGAGAAAAAAGGTATACATAACATAAGCAAATTTTAAGAAGAAATTATGCAATTTAAGAAAACAGTTCTCATAATTACACTTGAGGCGCACCTATTTACATAAAATTATTTCTATATTAGTAACTATTGTTGTATCAAAAAATATAGAATGAAGGCCCATGATACAAACCACAGTGCAATCTGTACCAAGAAGGCAAAAGGAATCTTTAAAAGTTGTAATTTTTTTTTCTTTTAGAGACAAGCTGCTCTACCAAACTTCTTCAGGCGGAGGATATAAACCGCTACCCCATTCTATCCTCAACTTAGATGAACAGCCAGTACATGCAGAAACTTGCCCCAGGAGGTCACAGTCCAGTTTTTAGAGAAGACAAAGAGAAAAAAGAAGCCTAAAAGAGTCAGAAGTGAATAAAAAAATAAAAATTAAAACTTGGAGTTATTTATTGTCTCATTGTATTCTCTCTCCATTTTCTTCCTTCTATACAGGGCCCTCGCACACCTGAACACAGTGGAATAGCGATCTCAGGCAACATAAGGTCTCTCCACCTCCTGGAGTTAGCTTTTTACGTTTGCATTATGTCTCCTATGGTTTCTGAGCGACAAGCAAACAGATCTGAGCAGGTGGGCCTCAGTGGCAGGCCTATAATAACAGCAGCAGCAGCTAACATGGATTAAATATTTACCAGGTGTGAGAGGCTGTTCAAAGTGTTTTATGGGTTTTAACTAATTTAAACCTCAAAACAATTCACTGGATAGGATTCTTATTAACATTTCTTTATTAATAAAGAAACTGAGGAACAGAGAGTTAGGTGACAGGTTCCATGTCACACAACTGATTAAGTGTAGCTAGATATTCAACCCATGTAGTTTAGCTCTGAGAGCAAGTTCTTACTTTTAATATCATACAGCTTAAAGACTTCCACCTACTCACTAACTTAAAGCTGAGCTTTCCCTAATACAGTCTCTAGAGCCCTGAAGGTCCTCTAAATCCACTGACAAAGTCTGCAGAGTCAAAACTATTTCCACAGTGATACTGTGGTATCATTTGACTTTTCCACCGTGTTGACACTGCTCTAAAGCTATAAAAGCAACAGTGTTAAAAGCAAAACCATTAATGCCTTAGCACAAATCAAGACAATGGCATAAATTCATGCTAAAAGATATGATATTCTTCAGTGTCAGGGACTCACAGCAAGGAAAAAAATGTAAAGAATATCCGTGATAACGAAATAAAAAGTATTACTGTTAATACATCTCAAGTACACATCTTTTTAATATTCTATGTGACAAAATGGGAAGCAATATGAAACCCTTTTGCTGTACACTGAGGTACCATGGATGTCCCCAGCAATAACACTTGTATGCTGCCTTTAGTTGTAAACAGAACTTGGTACTCTTCATGGAACACAATTTTTACTTAAAAAGAACAACTGGAAAAATGTTATTGAGACCTGTTATTTGGCAGGTATCTTCTTAAAATGAAGGGAGTGAGCCTGTCATTTTAATAAAGCTATGGGGTCCTGAGATCAGAAAGTTTAAGAATAGCTAATCTAACGATATTCAAAACAGCTCTTTTTGGTCTGATTTGCATCATGATCTACAACTGAAAGCAAAGGAAATTGAAATTCCTTTAAGGTGTCACTTTTGCTAAGTCAGGATTTCCTTTCAGTCTCCCATAAGTGAAGTATTATTACCAACTAATTTATGAAAATGTATGATGATTTAAAAGTGAAAAGTAACTCAGAAGTGAAAAGTTCTTTATTAGATTCTCACTTACTTTCATCTCAATAACAGTTTGCAGAGCCTTTGTTTTGGCAGAATCTGGGGCGTTCTCAAACCTCCGGTGCATTTCCTAGACAAGATAAGCAAAAGATAGTCAGTTAGGTGTCCAAAGAGAATTTTTTCAGCATTATGAGCATCTGACCTCTTTCTATGTGACCAACTCTGCCTTGTGGATCAGAGCATCCAGACTGCTTTTAGGACTAATTCAATCATGCAGGCAGGTGGGTCCTTGACTCTGAACACCTAGTTATTTAAAATTATTCCCATCAATGCAAGTTACTACAACAGCTGCAACTCCAGCACATCACCAGGTTGATGTTGTACTCTTTCACACAATTCCATGACCTGTATTCAAAACTCCAAACGATCAAAAAAGGGAATTACAAGAGTTTTGTTTTTAAAAGGAGAAATAGAAGACATCACAACAAGCCTACACGGCACAAAGCTATTGAAAGCATCCATGTAGACAACATCTCTTCCATAGTATCCACCCCCAGGATGAAAATCTCTCTCTGGTGGTGCTACAGGTAGAAAGAAAAAAGTAAGAACATTTACTATGTTTCTGAATGTTTAATATGTTTTCTAAGCAGTTCAGATTTAGAAAATGTCAGAGAAAAGTCTGGTTTTTTTAATCCGAATTTTAATGAGTTCAGGATAGGAAGGAAGGATGTTAGGCTCTTCAAGGGTTACTCTGGAATTGCCAGACCACTTCAGGTAATTCTCTGGTCAGATTCTATGAATGTCTCTGACATAATCAGTCAGTACTTCCAAAGTACTCTGGCATTGCCCTTAGTGACCCCAAGGAATCTAGAGATGACTACTCCATCTGAAATAAATCTTTTGTGTACTACATATTTCCTGTTTCCTACTATAATACTGTAAGCTCCACAATAGCCAAGGTCACTGTTTCACATTTACTGTTAGCTCCAAAGTGCCTACAATAGCTGCCACACTATTACCTGCTTAATAGGTACTTAAGGAACGAATACTGAATAAATAATGAATGGCTACCAAACTTTGAAGCATTAGTTGCACAGCTTATCTTTTAGTGCCTTCTGACTCCTGCACTAAATTATGTGTACCTCCTCTCATTTTTCATACAGTATGTTATACTGCTCTCCTTTGACACATTTTGAGTAATTTTCTTCCCTAACTTATCAAACTATGAACTTTGCAAGGGTAGGAAATACACTGTATATTCCTCAGACACTGCCTGACATCTAAGCAACTATCAAAAATTATTTCTCCACATCCATTCACTTTGTATTACATGAATGAATAAAGGAATAAATGAACAAATGATCAGCCAATTTCCATTCTAATCTCTCTACCTAGACCACTCTAAAATATCAAATGAAGACCCTCCTTGTTTCTAAATCTAATAGCTATTGCCAGTTCATGTCCTTTCTGAACTCCATCTAGTAACCAACTTTTTTAAAAAACATAAAGAGAGAAAATCTTTAACGTTTTCAACTAGCTTCTATTAAAGAAGGTTTAAATGTTTGTTTGAGCAAGCTATGCTAGTAACAGACTAGACATATAAACGTGTCTTTCTGCAATGTCTGAATTTACTAAATAACAAATTCACAAACTATATCAATCTTGTCAGCCTTATCAGGTTAATAACTCAAGGGTCACCCACAGCCAATAAGCCAGGCGATCACAGGTTCTCTTGATTCCAATCTTAATTACTAATATCTATTATACTTAAGTCATATAACATTCTACACAATAATATACAGGTTACAAAATAGCTAAGAAAGGGTTAATTGTGGCTACATGATTCTAAGAAAAAGAACTGGAGGTCCAGACAGAGTGTACAGAGATGTAAAAAGTCACTACAGGTGGCTAGAAAAGATTAGAAACCAGACAGCCAGCTGTGGCACACACCTACAATCCTAGTATTCCAGAGGCCTGGCAAAGGAGGATTGTTGTGAGTTCAAGGCAGCCTGCACTACATAGCAAGACCTTGTCTCAAAAACAAAACAAAACAAAACAAAGACTAGAAACCAGGTGAACTTCTAGAAGATGGCAGAGCAGTAAGTTTGGAATACAGATACTGTAAACTAACAATTCAGGGAAGAAAAAGAGTATAGTGGATCCCTGGGACCCAAGGAAAAATCTGAAGAGAAAATTGAAGCCCATGGAGAAAAGTGAAGAGACAGACCACAACACAGAAAAAGGAAGGGGGAAATGTGCACTAACCCCCACCCTCTTCCAGTTCCCAGCATGAAAAACATAGTGAAGGTGGGTTAACTCCAGAGTCCTCCAGAGAGAAATGCACCAGTGGAACACAGCAGTGGATTTTGTGTGCTACAAAAGATGGTGAGTGACTGAAGTCAGACACCATATTAGACAGGGGACAACTGAACCCAGGACTCAGAGCAGCTATGCGATGGCTTCATCTAAGGGCTCTTACTGTTGAAATCCAACCGTGACTGGGTGAAGGACAACTGCTGCAGACATCCAGGGTCAGGGAGCCATGGTCAGGGCCAGAAACACCCAGAGTGCTGTAGGATGAACAGCTCAGGCCCCCACCCTGAAACCAGAGGCCAAAATCAGCCTAAATATTTCCAGATCTGAAAGTATCAGAACCAGGACTGTCACCTAATCCTACTTCAGGTTTCCTAAGATTATCCAGTGCAGATGTGGGCTATGACTGCCTCTCTTGTCTACTAGCAACATTACAGTCATGCCCCATATTGAACACTACCACAAAACTATAGACCCCAGAAAATAACCACAGGCTTGAAATCATAGAAAAATTTCTCTCTCCTTTTTTTTTTTGCTTTTGTTTCTTTGTTGTTCATTTGGTTTTGTTTTGATTTTTGATTGTTTGCTTTTTGGTACAAACACTCTTTTTAGTTTTTTTGTTTTGTTCTTCTTTGGGGTTTTTACTGCTTTCCCTCCTCTCTTAATCCCCAGTTTCCTGAGAGTTGGGTAATTTTTTTCTGTCCTTCAACCTTGTTTCTAACCTTCTTTTATTTCTCTTTTTTCCTCTGATCTCATTTAAATTTTCCCCCCTTGGGGTAAAAAAAAAAAAAAAAATCACTCTACTGAGTGGATATTTACTAACTATAATTTTCTGATTTATGTTAGATCTTCTTATAACTATAAATCTTGTTCTCTGATTAAAGGTGGCAAATTGTTATCACAATTTGTCATTTTCTAGTCTATGCTTAAAGGTGGTATTATTACTGATTATACTACTTTAGCCAAAGTGGGAAAGTTGTTGTGATCAATTGATCTTTCTTATATGTCAATATCTAGATCACCTGGGGGTCATAAACAATGCTATCCTCGAGTACCAAAAAACCTTGGTACTAGACCAAACAAGTAGCAACTCTTCAACCCTAATAAAATGAAAAGGTAGGATCTTAGGACAGACTCAAAAGTCAGCCATACCTAAAAGGCATCTCTGAAAAGTAGTCATTTCCATAAGAGGTCCCCACACTAGTAATAATAAAGCTACCTACTATGAGCAATTTCTAAGCATCAACACAGAAAATAAACAAACAAAAAAACAGAAAATGAGAAAACATAGGAGCAAAGCACAATCCATAATCCCTAACTCACTCAAGGCAAACCAAGAGGGCACTGAAGTAGAAGAAATCAAAAATGTCCCAGCTAAATTTTATGGAATGTTTACAGCATAAAGTAACAAAACTAATCAATAAGTCTCTTGACAAAAACAAAACAAAGATAATTAAAGATATGACAACCATACTAAGGAAATGATTAGTGAATCTAGAATAGATACAGATAAAAAATAGAGGATCTTAAGAAAGACTTGAAAACTATGGAGGTCCAACTCAATTCCATAAAACAGATTTAAACAGAAATCTAGGTAATTAAAAATTCTACTGAAGGATACCCAGCAGAATCAACCAAGGCAAAAGTATAATATCAGATCTAGAAGACAGGGTTGTGGCTGGCAATCATGAAATAATAGACCTGTTAAAAACAACAAGGGACCACAAAAAATCAATCCAACAGCTAATATAATACTATGATGATGTAAAGGCTAATATAAGATTAAGTAGAATCAATGAAAAATCAGAAGATAGCACACAGAAGTAATAGCTCACAGAAGTAATAGCAGAAAAATTTCCAAGCATGGAAAAAGAACTTGAGACACAAGTGAGGCATACCAAACTCCAAATAGTCACGATCAGAAAAAAGCAACACCAATGCATGTAATACTGAAGATTTCAGAAATTCAACCAAGAACAGAATATTAAAAGCTAACATTTTATATAATTAAAAATATATAAAGGAAATCCCATCAGAATCAGCACACTTCTCAACACAAACCCTTAAGTTGAGGAGACCTTGTAGTGGAGGATTTCAAGCCCTGAAAGAAAATAATCTCCAATTCAGACTGATGTGCTCTACAAAATTATCTTTCAAACTTGATGGAAAACAAGATACTTCCATGATAAAGAAACCTAAAGAAGTTCAAGATTACCAAACCAGCACTCCAGAAACTTCTGAAGGATATTCTAGAAAAAGGCAACAATCAACAATCCTAAAACTACCAATAGAATGAACCCACCAGGCAAAAAAGCAACTAAACAAAAGAAAAAGAAAGGGAAGTAACAACAGAAAAATAATATGGAAAGAATAACTCAATACATTATCAGTTACAACCATCAGTGTGAATGGTCTCAATTCACCAATCAAAAGCAGCAGACTGGCAGAACGGATTGAGACACAATACCCAACAATATGCTACACACATTTACCTCAAAAAGAAATTCACAAAATGTAAGTTAAAGGATGAAAAATAATACTCAATGCAACAGGAACCCAGAAAAAAGCAGGAATAGTTACTCTTTTTGCAAAGTGGATTATAAGCCAAGACACATCAGAAGAGACAAAGAAGTTCACTACATATTTGTTCAGGGAACAATCCAAGAGGAAGAAATAATAATTATAAATACATATGCACCAAAAACTGGCCCACCCAACTATATACAACAAACACTAATGGATATAAAAATCAGATAAACACTACTACAAGTGTAATGGGGGACCTCAATAAACTACTGTCACAAATGGACAGATCAA